TTCTAGGTGAGCGGCTCCTCAGCCTCCCCCTAGCGCAGCACTGTCGGTTCTCGCACCCAGTAGCCATTCAAAATATGCTGCCCAGCGCCAAGTGTCAGCTTTAGGTGGGGCAGGCTGGGGCTATGGCTGCGAAGGGAGCTCCATCCATACGTACATTGCTTACAGCTCCCTTGAGTGTCCTGTAGAGGTGCCTGTTCCGGAGTGATGTCACATTCTGGCTCCCGGCACTTCTACAGAGTGCACAATGGAGCTGCACAAGCTATGCACATATGGATGAAGCTCCGTCACAGCACAGCAGCCCACACTGGACCCCAGGCTGAAAAACCACTTCAGTTCTAGTAAGGTAGGGGAGACTGGGTGGATGTTAATAATAAAAAATATGTATGTGTGTGTGTATGAGATTGTGTCTGCGTATGTATGTATATCAGTGTTCTTGAGGGCCCGTTCACACTAGTACAGTGCGTCAAACTGTACCACACAATCCCACCTACCGTGCATTCTGGTGTGGGAGGTGTGTTGCGTTGCCATTCATTTGAATTATACCCAAAATGCACCTCCCACCCACAGTTCTTACAGCCGCACCAGAACTTACGGTACCCTAATGCCGTGCGCTCCAATGCAGTGCGAACTGGGTCGCAAGTTAATGGCCAAGGACAAATGTGGGTCCTGAGGTTACACAGGTCGAGAACCACTGGTTTAGAGTAAACCGTACATATAAGTATTTCTCTCACTCCACTGTGTGCAGCAATACCCAATGCACAATTGTTCTTTACATACACATGAGCACCTTGCATGTGCACATGCGGTCGTGTGTGTGTGTGTGGGGATCGGCAAGGGTGCTTTAAAAAATGTTTGTTTTTATTTTATATTTATAATTTTTTTTAACACTTATTTTTTTCACTTAACTTTATCGTTATCACAAGGAGGCTAATAAGCCCCCTATATGATAGCACTGGGCAGCTAGCAGAGATGCTTTATAAAGACATAAGGGGTCCATTAGAATCCCAATGTCTCTTCCACACTCTGCTCCAAGCTACCATGCAGAAACTGTGCTCAAACCTACTGTTTACCCAGACTTGCAGTTGGGATTCTGACAGCTCTGAACCCTGAAGTACTAAGAGCCGAGTGCTTCTGGGTTGACACATTTGCTAATGTCCTACAGCTCACCATCCTGACATTTATTGTTGTCCTGGCATCCCAAGAGGAGCGCGAGAGGCCAAGAATCACAAAGGGAGAAGGGTGGTACCGTGAGAATTCCATGATTGTTACTGGGTTGCACTACAGCTGCCTAGGTAAATTTTACTAATTCGTGGCCTACAGTCGTGATCTTGCTTTAACCCTTTCATAGCCATGAAGTTTGAGCTACATTGTAGGAAACAATGTAGTTTAAAGTACAACTAGAGGCTCCTATTGCACCTCTAATTCAAGAGACTAGCTCAAGAAACATTCTGAAGTCTTGATTGAAGTCACCTTAGAAAAAAATATCCACGGAGTACCAAGCAGAGAAGAATCATATGAAACAATTAAAAAGGCTAGCAAATATATAATTAGACTTTATCTCAGCAGAGCTGAGGAAATTGCTTCCAAACTCCAAGGACACTAGAAAAATACTGAGGCACGACTGTTTGAGGCAGAGTAATACAGGGGCTGGCCTTCAACATTTCTTTTGTTTGCCAGTGTCCAGCCAGAATTGAACCCAACAGTTTTAGAATACCGGTGTCCCTCAATGGATTCTATAGAAAAAGTGTTTCTGTAACTACTTAAAAAGTGCCAGCTAAAGTTGGGCTTTTTGTCTTTTAATTAAAGTCCATCTAAAACTAGAAGGGTGCTGTGTGATTTCATTGCAGAATAAACAGTATTGTGACTATCACGGGAAGTAGAAAAAGAACAGCTCTACTGGCAGGATTAAAACACTGTTACATGGAGTCTAAACAAAAACTGCCGTGTTTAAATAGAACATCACTCTTATCTTAAAAAGGACAACAAAGGCACCTGTAGAAATGTTTAGTAATGGCAATCTACAAATACGTATAGATAATTGCAGGCTTTCAATCTTTGCATACCCCGTTTTTCATTTCCTCCCCATTCTTCTCACAGTAGTCATTTGCACTGAGGGCAGATTAATCTAGATTGACAGTGCACATCTTGGGGGGAAAAATGCCTTTCGCCGTAAGATCTCACAAGGCCACTGGTGATGTAGCCTTTCCAGAATGCATATGCAAGGCGCTACATCACCAGCGCCTCGCTCAACCAGGGAGTGTAAAAACAAATTGTAAAATAAAAACAAAAAATGTTTGCTTAAATAATAAATGCAAGATGATTTTATATAAACATGCAGAGCTGCATGCTGAAGTCATTTTTAATGAAGGGGTGAAAAGGTCCACCTGCTAGTAAATTTTATTTTGCCCATAGAGCTGCTTTAAAGTAAACCTATCACACACCTGAGCAATTAAAATACATCCTAATATGAATCCGTTAGCAATATGATGAATCAGTTAGTTTAGTAAAACCCCATGTCATATGGCAAGTATAGGCAGTTGAAGTTGCATGAAAACCTAACTTTCTGTAAAAGTCAGGTTTTGCCCCGACTCCACCACCTCCTAATTTTTCAATTTTGGTGCCCATTACATGGAAGGAAGTATCAGCAGGTGGGCTTTGTTGGTGTTGCATTCAGTTTGTACACAAAATATTTTGCATATACGTTTAGCTGCCTATATCTTTGGACTTTCATTTAAGTTTACATGAGCATTTTTCATCACAGATCTAGTTTGAACTGTCCAGGTTTGCAACACATTTACTTTAATAGCAATTGCCCCCCCAAAAAATCAGGGAAAACTGACAAATGTATTGCTAATTGGCGTAGATAGGGCTACAAGCCAATTGCAAATGGTATGCACGTCAATGCATAAGAATGGAAAAATAAAAATGACACAAACCCATCACCACACAATGTAATTAATTAATTTCTCAATCTATATCTTGAAAATATTAAATCAATATCTTAGATTAACCGAAGAACTGCATTAGACAAAAAGAATATTACTGCATGGCAACACCTATTTATAATCATACTCTGCTATACTCTGCTATACCACATTTCATTGCCTTAAGGAAGGACCATGTCAAAAGATAATGCTAAAAGTTATGACACTAACTTGTAAAAAAAACAAAAAGTAGAAACAATTGCCTGTAGCAAACCTAACATTAGCAAATGTTCTATAGAACACTGGCATGTCAAAAAAGATTGGCAGCTTTGCCCATGAACTTAGCTTTTCTTTGGCACCACTACTACAAAATACCCGTTATATAATGCAAAAAAAAAAAAAAAAAAAAACAAAACTTTAATAGTATAGACAATACTGTTACAGTATTATACAATTTGAAGTGGACCTGTTGCCACTAACTACTAAAAACTTTGCCAAAACTACTATACCGGCAGCAGGCATGGAAAGCAGGAACGTAGACATGGCCATATGTTCTGTCACATACCTTGCAGAAATCCCAAGGTTATTGCGCAAATCTTGACAAGCTGTTGTGGTTAAGCTTAAGCCAGTCCCTTCTCATGCTTTTGTGGTGTTTAGTGAGGCTGCTTATCATAGCTGTGGACCTACATTGAGGGACAGGGGACAGGAGCCCAGCTTCTCAAACTAAATCTGTATTAGCATAATGGATCTGTATAGGTTTCAGGGCTCCCAGGGTGCTTTGATGGCACATAATTGTACACTTGAAATCCATAAAGAGTGTCATAGACACGCATTCGAAAATCTGTCTCCTGTCTGCAACAAATGGGACAATTGCCACAGAAGGTAAGGTAAGGTCAGTAAGGTATATATGAATATGTTGCAGAATTCTGAGAGAATATTTTTGCAACACAATATTTACACGTGACTCCATTTACTAAACATGAAAGGAGGTCTTATTTACCGCCACTTTTCTCATCACTGATATCAGAGTATTTTCTAATATTTTGTCGCAACCATAGTGCCAGAATATAAATGTGCCGCACATAAAAACTACCTGAATTTGCTGCATGCGTCAAAAGTAAATAGTAAAAGTAAAAAGAAAATAGCATGGCTTTCATGAATTTGGAGCATGGACTTTGTAATAGTTAGCCATAATGCCATTGCAAATGCTTGGGAGCATGAAATTGTCCAAAATGTCTTGGTATGCTGATGCCTTAAGAGTTCCCTTCACTGGAACTAAGGGGCCAAGCCCAGCCCCTGAAAAACAACCCCACACCATAATCCCCCCTCCACCAAACTTTACACTTGGCACAATGCAGTCAGGCAAGTACCATTCTCGTGGCAACTGCCAAACCCAGACACGTCCATCGGACAGAGAAGCATGATTCATCCCTCCAGAGAACACGTCTCCACTTCTCTAGTCCAGTGGTGGCGTGCTTTACACCACTGCATCCCACGCTTTACATTGCACTTGGTGATGTAAGGCTTGGATGCAGCTGCTCTGCCATGGAAACCCATTCCATAAAGCTCTCTACACACTGTTGTGCCAATCTGAAGGTCACACAAAGTTTGGAGGTCTGTAGCTATTGACTCTGCAGACAGTTGGCGACTTCTGCGCAGTGTGCGCTTCAGCATGCGCTGACCCCGTTCTGTCATTTTACATTGCTGTTGTCCCAGTTGCTTCCACTTTGTTATAATACCACTAACAGTTGACCATGGAATATTTAGGAGTAAGGAAATTTCACGGATGGACTTATTGCACAGGTGGCAACCTATCACGGTACCACACTTGAATTCACTGAGCTCCTGAGAGCAACCCATTCTTTCACAACATGTTTGTAGAAGCAGTTTGCATGCCGAGGTGCTTGATCTTAGTCTGAAAAGAAAACTAAACTAACAGAAAACATATTTTTGTATTGTCTATAAAACAGACATAACAACAGGTATGTAATTGTTTGAAGGTTTTTTGTGAAAGCCAAATGCATTACAAAATACTGATCAATATAGTAACAATGCACGATGAAAAATTCAGCTCACCAGTTCAAACTCATCAAACAGCTGTATTAGAGATGGTGGTATAAACATATGGAAGCCCTGTAAAAATCCATTGATCTGTGGCTGAATGGCTCTTGTCATGCGAAGTTCAGTAACAAGCTGGACATACTCTGCCTGAAAATAGGCAGAAAAAAAGACAAAATTCAACAGTTGGCATAAGTGCTGTCTGATTACTATGGTAACTTGTAATGGAACATCTAAACACAGCTTTCCTCTTTTTTCACTCTGGAAACAATAATGAGAATGATAAGTGAAAAAGCAGCACAATTGTCATGAAAATGGCTCCATCACCTTGCATCATTTTTCCTGTCGCCAGCAAACCAGGCTTCGAGAACGGTTGCAAATTAGGCACAGCACTAGTGTATACCACAAATTATTATTTTTTTATATCATCATTTTTAAACACGATTGCAAATTACTAAAAGTACACATAAATGCATCCTAAAGATTGTATAATAAGATTAATCTTGGAACAAGGAGCAGATAAGAAAACTAGCAGAGATACAGTGACACCTAGTGGAGGGTCAAGGGTGTGAATTATTTGCTTTAAATAACTGCAGAAGGGCAATTCAACATAACCCAGAACGTTTTATCACAATCTGAAAACACTGACTAGCTTTGTAAAAGACAGAAAAATCGGGGCACTTAGGTCTACATACGAACACATTCTTATGATTCACACACGCCTCTAAGATAGATTATTCGTGCTCCTGCACTTTCAATCGTCGCCCAAAGCATTTAATAACAGCAGCAAATAGCTGAAAGAGCATTTGTTTAAGGGTACGGTTAAGCAAGCATTTTAAGCATAAGCTTTTCTTTTTTTGTGTGTCAATGGCCTTGCTTTAGATAGAAACCTGCATTGATTCCTACCACCACATTTACTGTATACTGGGGCTGATTTACAAAAGACAAATAGGCTGCTCACTTTGCAAGGGAATTTCCACTTAGCTTAGTGAATAAGGTGAAGAAGCTCTGTTGACTTCACTCATCCAAATCATATTCAAGCAAAAATACAGTTCCATTTTTTTTCCTTTCCACATGATTGGGTATTATCTGCAAAGTGAATTTTCACTTAATTTACTAAAGCTGTCCGTACATTATGCAAATTTTGGCCGGTTCTTCAGGAACAGGCTGAAATTCACACAGTGGGTGCGGCTGTAGGCACCCTTTCGGCCAGCATCCCTCAATCAGCTGATCAAAGGAACCGGTCGGAAAATCTTTGAACAAACAAGATAGCAATGAGCTGCCGGCTCTGTTCGGGTATTCCGACAGTGGCCGTCGGCCGCTGTCAGAATGCAAAAGAAAAAAAACGGGGATTCCTCAGTAAATGTTTGTAAGGCTGGCCATACACCTTACAACCATTGCACGACTTTCGTTGTGCGATAGTTGTAAGGACATTAACATTTTGTACGATCTGCCCATCTTGGACAGGCAGATCGTACTTGCGATCATCGCAAGCCCCCCCAGCTGAGGGGAGGGCTTGCAATGATTGCAGTGCTGAGCGGGCAGTGTGCGCTTGCGCACTCCGGCCCAATGCGGCATTAGTCTTCCAAGCACGCCACCAACGCGACGAAAATCGTACGATTTCCAACAGGTTTTCTAGCGTGCTCGAAAGACGAATCGGCAGGTGTATGGGCACCTTAAGCGTTGATGGAGAAATCTGTTCTATTTTTTTTTTCTTTCAGCCAGCGGGTTTAAAAAAAAAAAAAAAATAGAACAGTGTAAAGCCAACGTAATCTAATGTAAGATTTCCTTGCAAAGTGAACAGCCTATTTGCCTTTAGTAAAGCAACCCTACTGCATCCAGGGGTGAATTTGCTGCTAGATTGTTGAACCAGTTTTCATTGGCTTTGTGTAGGATCAAAGTTTAAAACAACCAGAAGACCCAATAAACATTTTTTTTTTTAAACTCCATGTTTAGCACATATACTTGTAGTCTTCTGTTAACCACAGCAGTGTAAAACAATGTACTTTCGTGCCAGAAAGAATTGTTTGAGCTCATAGCATTTAATTCCCTCTAGCGAAGGTTATTGAATATGCAGACAGTTCTTGCAAACCCTCGAAAGACTGAGGCCCATAATAATTTCCTAGAGCATTTACTAAGAGCATTCTTACAATAGCTACTTCCCCTGTGTACACACTAAAGGATCTATTGAATAAGAATTTAAAAAAAAGAGAAAAAACAGACAATGTGCAGTAATTATTGATATATCATTTTGCAGAACTATGACTACACTAGACTGAAGAAAGTTACAGTTTGCATGGATGCTGTAAATGGACAATATTGTTCGTTGCATTATTATTAAGGGCCAATAAGTGTTCTTTTCATGAATGTGTTCAGCTGACCTCTGACAAAAACAAATGAACTGGATAATGACATTTGGTTTTCTGCAACACAATCACAGCGAGAAAACAACATTTGGTAGAATGGTGCTGCTATTATTGAACAGTGTATTTGGGAATGCAGCAGCAGCTTGAATTCTGTATGTCAAGTGCTCTGACATTAACAAAGCCAGTGATCCAGAAGCCGCACTGCATGTCCTATATGAATGATGAATTGTTATTCAATGCACCCTTTATTTTTCTCTGCAGTAGGTCTCAAATACATCTAAACAATGTGAGCTCAAAAAACAAAAAAAACTACCATAGAAAACATAAATGGTAATTGAATTCCTTTATATACCTCAATAGGTAAGCTTTTTAATCATTACAAACAGGCATAGCCTATTCATGTTTATTAATGGGCAATGGCTCATATCAGCAAAGTCAACAATGTGCCCAAATACAACAGCAGTTCTGTCATGGTAATTTACAAATTATGCAGCGCCCGCAACATATAATGTGTTGAATGTCATAAACCCTAAAAAGAACAGCAGTTCTGTCATGGTGTCAGCTGGGGGCTTTTTTTTGTGCCATGCCAAATACTAAGAAAGCCATAGCTCATCAAGCAACCGTTCTCAGAGCTGCTCACCGGACCACTGCTAGGTCAGGGTTAATGGGTATGCATGCTGAGATGCAGGTGGATCAGCGACTCCATCAAATGAAATCACCTGTGACTAAACAGGAACGTTCCTGCACTTCCAAGCTGTGACAAATTATATAGACAGAAGGAACGTCTGCAGCCGCATTATATTAGCCACATTTACTTAATTAAATGTGGACAAATAATATTTCAAGTTACTTGCAGCATGCAGTCTGGGACAATATAGCAGGAAAATGTATACAAATTATGTTTAAAGTCAAACAATATAGAAGCACATATGTAAACGATATTACCTGCTAAAATATTGATAACTCTGTGCTGCCAATTCGATGACTTGCACACCCTCATAGCCAATGAGTGGCATCACTGTTCACTTCAGCAGTTCACTAGGTCATCAGCGTTCTCAATGGACTATGAATGAGTATCATTACACTGCTGATGTACTGCCTATGCTACCCTCCTTTTGTAGGATGCTTAAAGACATAGTGCACCTTCTGCAATAATGTAATAAATGCACTCACATAAATACAAATATGGCCATTAGTTACATTTTTTAATTGAAGCCTGCAAAGCAACGCATATGCAATCAGTGCAGCATGGGTACAATGCATAGGCTCCTGCAGGCTTTTTTTTCCAGCCCCAAGTCTCTACAGAGGTACAGATCTTCTGTTATGTGGCTAGAGGAAGTGAACAGTGGACTTCCGACACAATTTACTATGGTGGTAGATGGATCAATGAATGGATGACATGGCGGTGTGGTTGGAGCCACACACCTTCCTCTACCCCAACAGGAGTAACAAGAATATTAAACTAATCTTAACTAAACTATGGGGATAGCTGCTGCTGAACTCCTTTTGAAGTTGCCTGGCTTTTACAGTATGCCGAGTCACCAGCCAGTACGAGTATGCATATGAGGATACCGAGAGTGAAGTCCTAATTTATATACTGTTTCTGGGTTGCTGACTTAAAGAGTAAGTTCACCTTTCACAAAATGTAAAACAATTAACTTACAGCCCCCACCTCCCCCAGTACTGCAGTACTTACCTGCGTGATGCTTCGGACAGTGTGTGTAGCGGTCCATACATCGCACACCCCACTTTACAGCCCTGCAGTCTATAATGGTCACAATGCTCACAAATGTCAAGCACTCACTGATCAGCATAGTCACATGACCATGCTGACCATTGACAAGTACTGAGATGGGGACTAGGTCATAGAAGGCATGCTCCTCATAGGTAAGCATGGTCATGTGACGTGCTGACCAATGAATGCTCGCTATGTGCGAGCATTATGATCATTACAATCTCAAATGCGATGTAAGGTGTATGGACTGCTACACTGGCTAGCAGGGGCCTCACGCAGGTAAGTACAACCAAGAGGGAGGGAGGGAGGTACTGTGAGTATGTTAATTTTTTCACATTATGTGAAAAGGTGAACTTACCCTTTAAACTACTAAAGCAAGAGAGTTAGCATGGCAAGTCAAGCAACTAGAAATAGCAGAGAGACAAGACAGCAACATCAGTCTTATTTTCTCTTTCAGGAAAATGTTCCTTTAGCAGGGTTCCCTCCAACTCAGAAGGGAAGGAGGGCAGATTTTAAAGGAAGCAGCCTGGCCTTGGGTGGGGGTACTTGTGTTTGGTATAGTAATGTATCCCTGCAACAGAAAGTTCAACAAATGGAATGGCTGGAAAACATTTATTCACAAACAGGGGTATTAAGTATAAATGTTCCCATCTCAAAGAATAATCGAGATATACTAGCTTTTAAAAAGAGGAGCATGTAAAAATAGTAAAAGGCTTCAAGTAAACTACATGGTACATCATAAGAATGATTTCCAATCCGTCTTGCTTCAACTGCTGACATCAAAGTCTCTGTCGTTTCTGCATGCATCGACTTTATTCAGTCCGGGTCTCCTGAACCCACAAACCGATCAATACACTCCAGGGTGACCAATGCCAATCCACACCATGCGGTGTTCTTACCATGTACAAAGTGCCTTATTATAATATACCAAAACTGAGTTTGAATAAAGGCTGTTTTGTTAAATTTGAAAACTACGAATTATCCTCAGTAAAAAACAAACAAAAGGATTGCCATAAAAAGGAGGAGGATACTTTAATAAAACTGAGAAGCACTGCTCTACCCCAATTGTCATTATTAATTGGTTTGTATTATTAGAATCTGTTTGTTGATGGAAAAACAGTAGGTGGTTTAAAACAGTGCTGAAAAGTAATGGGTGTGATAATTACAGGTTTCTTAATTAAATTTAAAAAAAAAAATCATGAACCAGAAAACAATGTAGAAAAATTGATATCTTTAAAAACAATATAATTTAGCGTATATATTTTTAGCTACACCAGCAGGTGCAAAACACAAAAGCATCTCCACAAGCTTTTGATGCAGAGTTTAGAAGTTCTATATGTACTGAAGAGCAGTGGTCCTCACTCTTCAACATGTTGTACATATATTCCAGCAAGTATTTCTAAAACATACACATGCAGGGGGTACTCCTTCAGGGTAAATTAAAGTAGAACTCGGGGGAAAAATTCTATTAATCCTTGCAGTGGGGCTACCCCAGCACTGCAAGGGTTAACTGCTCGTTTAAAGAAAAAAAAGGTTATACTCGCCCAATGCTTTGAGCCGGCTTGCTCTTAGACCTGTCCTTCCAGCCTCTCTCCCCCTCTGTTGCATCGGTCAAAAGTCCGTAAATCCTCACGTTCTATTCAGAGGGGGGAATTTATCAAAACTGGAGCAGACAGAACCTGGAGCAGTTGCCCATGGCAACCAATAAGCTTCTCTCTACAGCAGGGGTAGCCAAACTCCGGCCCTCCAGCTGTGGTGAAACTACAAATTACATGATGCATCTCTCTCCGGGAGTCATGTCTGTGGCTGTGAGAATCTTGCAATGCCTCATGGGATTTGTAGTTCCACCACAGCTGGAGGGCCAGAGTTTGGCTACCCCTGCTCTACAGTTTGCTCAGGTAAGATTTGAAAATGAGAGAGAGATGCTGATTGGCTGCAGTGCAAATCTGCTCCAGTGTATAGACATAAGGATGCCAAGGGATATTCCAATGCTGCAGTGGAGGAGGAGACAGGCTTCAAAGAACAGAGAAGGGAGATGGCTCATAACTTTTTTTTTTAGTATCTAGACAAAAACGAGCAGGGTAGTCCCACTGCAAGGGTTAATAAAAGTTTTGCTCGGAGTTCCCCCTTAAATGCTCTATACTAGTTTGAAAGTTGGGCGAGTCTCATACAAAACCAATTTTAATTATTTAATTAAAATAATTGATTATTTTAAATTTTAAAATATCTTAAGGCGCAGTCTGGAAAAAAATTCTATATGTTTCTAGCATATGACACATTTTACAGAGTGCTCAAGATAGACACACAATGGGGGTACTTTGTAAATGTTGTTGTATATAGTGATAAAGTAAAGTTAAGAAACGCTGCAATACAGCACTGCACACAGCAAGAGGCTTTATATTATATCAACCTTTCTCAGCCAGGATTCCGTGGAACCCTAGGATTCCCTCCTGAGGTGGCTAGGGGTTCCTTGAGCAAGGAGCAATTTCTGCTCCATGGATAAATAACCACTGATAGTCTTTTTAGCTACCTGCAAGAGGGAGGGAACTCTTCCCAATGATCCCAAATGGAAGGAGCATTCTTCCCAGTAACCATCACACTAATGTATGGTGAGCTGTAGATATAGTATTTATTAGCAGAGGTTCCTTGAGGCTAAAAAGTTATTTCAAGGGTTCCTCCGAGTTTAAAAGGTTGGGAAAGACTGCATTAGAGTTTGGAAATAATCAGGAGTATACTTTTTTCTGTTTAGGACATTTTGTAACTGATATCTCTTATATAAATGACAAGCTTGCCAAGTACCAAGCGTTCCAGAAAGTGATCTTAACATACAGACACATACAGCACAATACAAGCATCAGAATTGAGAGTGTGTTACCTAGAAAAAGTGTATTTTTTTTCGTTGCTGTGCCTCAGAATGTGCACGTCTTGCAGATGTATGCATTTCACAAGGTAAAAAGAAATTGCCTGAGCCTCCCTCTAGTAATTGTTAAGAGGTCAGCACTCCGCAGAATAAAGAAAAAACACACAGCAAAGATGTTTACACTTCACAATCTCGCAGGTACCAAACCTTCACTCCGTGACATCTTTTTATCACATTTACACTTACCAATTGTTTAAATCAGAAATGTGATTAACTAGTATATCATACTAAAGGATGTAAAGTGCTTTGCTACGTTTATACTTAATTGAAAGGCTGTCTAAACCACAAAATGCATAGCAATTACAGCTGAAGACGCATCTCAAAATGATATCCTTAGAATGAAGGATGTACTTGGATGCTGTGTAGTTTAATTTCTTGTGATGGGATTCTCTTAATTTAGATTTTACGGGTTGGTTAATGGGTAGATTCAGTAAGTGAAGTTCAGTTGCATTAAAAACAAAGAATGAACAAGGGATTACGAGTTCTAAACTATCAGGCAAGAAAACCTCAGTCTAAATGCTCAACTCCACCTTAACTCTGGGGACCAGGCCAACACCAGGTCAACACCAGGCCAACCATTTTCTTTAGTTGTGGACGAAATAGGGAAGGGATAGAACTTCTTTTAACTTTCTAATACTGTCTGTATCCCCATTTGGGTGATGTTACCTAACTTCCTTTCTTAAAGGAGAACTATTGGGTCAGTGTTTTTCCCCATAGTTCTCCTTGGGGTAACGGGAGGACACAAACTAGCGTCCTCCCGTTACCCTAAGCTCAGTATACCGCAGCCGGGACGGATCACGACTCTTGACGGGATCCGCCCAGCTGCGTGAGTGACAGCTGGCTCTGCCTATCTAGAGGCAGAGCCAGCTGTACCCGCCCCCTCCCCCGTCCGTTCCGCCAGTCAGCGCTGGCAGATCGGATCGGTGAGAGGGGACTAGGTCATCAAGTAACACATCATGTAACACTCTAGTTCAGCTGCACTGGTCTGAGGTCCTGTAAATAATCACTTTCTATACACTGTGTATGGACCCAAGGAGCTTCGGGGGGAGTATAACTGTCAGTCTTGCAGTGCCACCCGGGACTCATAATTCCACAACAGCTTCAGTGCCAAAGGTTGCCTACACCCAAACTAGAGTGTTACATGATGTGTTACTTGATGACCCAGTATAGAATTTTAGAACAGCACTTAACCTTAAAGAAGAGAGCCAGGAAAAAAAAATTCATACATTTTTATAAAATCTTTGTTTAAAATGTACAGTTTTTGAGCCAAGACATAAATGAGCAGTTAATGCTTGCAGTGCGTGGGTAGCCCCACTTCAAGGGTTAATTAAAACATTTCCTGGCTCTCTTCTTTAAAGGAGAACTATGGGGTCAGTGTTTTTCCCCATAGTTCTCCTTAGGGTAACGGGAAGACAAGAGAGCGGAGCGGGGAGAGGGGAATCCAGCCCCTCCCCCTGTCACAGCAGAGAGCCGTGACAGGATCGAGAGGTGAGGGAACCCGGTATGTGTTCCCTCACCTCCCGATCTACTGAGCCGACCTGTGACAGTCTCATTGTCACAGGTCGGCTAGAACTATGAGATGAGTGGAAATCACTCATCTCATAGTTCTCCTTTAATGGAAGTGAGGGATAATCCACTCACTTCCTATCTATTTGACGGAATTCAACCAGAACATGAAGTGAGTGGAAATATACTCAAAGGCACCACATACATTGATTAAAAAAAAATTAAATAGTTTTTGTCAGCCGTTCACTGTACCTCTGCCGCTTTAAGATCTGCTGTTGTTGCTGTGGGTCCTCCCTCCACCCTGCTAGTCCCTGCGCATGGTGCTGAAGAAAAGCAGGGAGGTGAGCAAAAGGTACTGTGCAATTTATCTCAATTCATAAACGTAGAAAAGGTCGCTCACACTCCAGATTCATTTTCAGTCAATGTTTATTGACCTCTCATCATGTCACATTGTCAAGCTAAGTTTTGGAACCACGCCGTTACAAAACTTAGCTTGACGGAACTGCTTGATTCCGAAACGTCGCTTGACAATGTGACACGAAGAGAGGTCAATAAACATTGACTGAAAATTAATCTGGAGTGCGAGTGACCTTTTCTACATTCATTCATTGATTCAAGGAGGCATCCGTAGTCACCCACCCAACTACAAAGGGTTTTTATTCGATCAGAAATGCAATGGGTTTTGTTTGAATATTGAACTATTCT